CAAACAATAATAAATAATTGAATTACATTATTTTCTCCAAAAAAAGGTGTAGAATTAAATGTATAGAGGTAGTTGAGCGACAAATGAGACTCCACCGATTTATTAATTTATTATTTTGTTTATTTTACAAAAAACATTATAATAAAGAGATTTGAGGGTTTAATTAAGAATATTGGTTTAATTAAATTCCCATTATTGAAATAAATAGGATGGAAATAAATTATGGATTAAAGATTTTATAATTTTTTGTTTTTATTGGCTATTAATATATCCATATATTTATTATTATTTAAATTGGTATATATTTAATAATATACATATCTATAAAAACAATATATATTAAAAAAAAAAAAAAAGTTGTTAGGCGAAGGGCATTAATTTTCATGGAAAAATTGGTAACAGATGCCGTTGACCAATGAAAACTCCAGGCTTCGGAAAATTAGTGAAATATATTATAGTTTAAATTTTATAAATTATAATTTTAGGTGTGATGTGTACTGGAGTGTATACGAGTTGGGTTAAAAAAAAATTTGGACCAATCAAAAATCTTAGGTTGGTTGAGTTCGTGATACGAGTAACTAAGGACGGGTTATTCACATTTCATTTGATGGTCAGAGGCAAATTGAAAGCTAAGCAGTGGTAATTCTAAGGATTCCCGAGGGGAAAAATAGAGATGTCTCCTACGTTACCCGTAATATGTGGAAGTATCGACGTAATTTCATAGAGTCATTCGGTCTGAATGCTACATGAAGAACATAAGCCAGATGAAGGAACGGGAAGACCTAGGATGTAGAAGATCATAACATGAGTGATTCGGCAGATTTGGATTCCTATATATCCACTCATGTGGAACTTCATTGGACGATATATATAAGATCCATATGTATAGATATCATCATCTACATCTAGAAAGCCGTATGCTTTGGAAGAAGCTTGTACAGTTTGGGAAGGGGTTTTGATTGATCAAAAAGAAGAATCTACTTCAACCGATATGCCCTTAGGCACGGCCATACATAACATAGAAATCACACTTGGGAAGGGGGACAATTAGCTAGAGCAGCAGGTGCTGTAGCGAAACTGATTGCAAAAGAGGAGAAATCGGCCACATTAAAATTACCTTCTGGGGAGGGCCGTTTGATATCCAAAAATTGCTCGAGTTTACAACGTAACCCTCTATTTTTCGAGTTAGATTATTTTGTTACATTTACGAGTCACAACACATCACTAACATTGGTACAAATGTTAAATGTTCTTAATTTTTCATAATATTGGTACAGTTGTAACCCTATTTTTCGAGTTTGTTGGATTAACCCAACAAAAAAAAACACGTTAATCTACGACTCAAATTTTTATTTTTAAAAAATTCAGCACAACTCAAACCGATGAAAATTTAACCCAACCCAACCTTTATGATTTCGGTTGGGTAGTCGAGATAGGTTGAGTTTTAAAACTACTAGGTTTAAAATCAACACTTAAAAAAAATATATAAATCTAAATGAAAACGGTTGGACTCTATGATCCTTGGTGACTCGGTGTTTCAAGTAAAAACATCTATTCGTGAACACCGTAGTTGTCATGAGTTCTACAATAGAAATGTGAACTCTTCATGGGTAACCGAGGTGTAACATGGTCAGGAATGACTACTACTGCATCGGTCCAAGTTGGAGCGTGCAAGACACATGCACTCAATTAAAGAAGACAATTTCCATCTGTGCCACCAAGAATACATCTCGAGAGCGATAGTAAGTATAATACAATCACAAAGTGAATCTCGAAAGAGTGCAATCGTGACATTTGTCAGTCTTATAGTAAGCCACGAGAACCGACTTATACAATACAACCATTTCCATTAAATAGAGTAAAAAAGTTAACCCAAAAAGCTAAAAAAGCAAACCCTTTTTCTTACTTTGTCTTCTAATTCAAATCCCATATCTCACTTTTTCAAGCTTTTTTGGTTCCTTCTTCTTCTTCTTCAACAAGATCCTTGCTACTTCCCGTGATCTTTTACCTCTCCTCATCGTAATTAACTTCTAATTCTTTTTAAATTTAACCAAAATTTATAAAAATACCTCCACGAAATTTCACAAATACCCTTAAACTTTCAAAAGTAAATCCATCGCTAGCAGATATTGTCTTCTTTGGACTTTTTCTTCGGAGCCCAGCATCCTTATTGGCACACCGCCTCGTGTCTACCCCATTCGAGGAATAGTAAAAAGACTGGTACATCGTCTGGTGTGATACCATTTGTAATGGTCCAGATCTACCGATATTGTCCACGGGAAAGTTTCCACACTCTTATAAATGGTGGTTTGTTCTCTTCCCTAACCTTGTTATACGATATTGTCCAGGGAAATGTTGATGGGTATTTTTGAAAACTGATACTCGATAAGGGTATTTTTGAACTTTTTTAAAAAATTGAAATTTTTTAATATAAGAGTATTAATGAAACTTTGGACCATGTTATACGAGTATTTTTTTTATTTTTTTTTTTGAAAAGAAATGCAAAATTTAAATTATTTTAAAAATAAAATACTAATTGTACTATAAATTGAGTTGTCCCAAGCAACCTATTTCTTCACAAACATATCCAAATCCATATGGCTCCCAACAGATCAGAAACAAAAGTAGAAGTGCGAAAGCCATCAAGGCTATCAATGGAGGGTCTCCAACGAACCATATCCGACATTTCCTCCGAGCTCACAAAAACAGGTCTTACAGAAGCCGAGCCACTGCCGCCGATCTCCGAGGTAGAGGCCGCGACCTGCGAGTGTTGCGGCCTCTCCGAGGAGTGCACGGCGGAGTACATCAACCGTGTTCGAGGCGAGTTCATGGGGAAGATGATTTGCGGCCTCTGCGCCGAGGCAGTAAACGAGGAGATGAACAAGGTTAAATTTGTTTCATTCTTTCTTTTTTTTGTGTTATATTACAAAGTAAGGCTTATTGGTGTCATTTGAAGCAGAGGGGTTGGGAAAAGGAGGAGTCTTTGAAGGAGCACATGAGCGCTTGTGCCAAGTTCAATAGGTTCGGGAGGGTATATCCGGTGCTGTATCAAGCCGAAGCCATTAAAGAGATTCTCAAGAAAAGCTCCACCCGAGGGAAGTCGATCAGCCCTAGAGAACCCCCCGCCGGCCACCGCAACGGTAGAATTGGCCGGACTTCAAGTTGTATTCCGGCCATAACCAAAGATGTCTGTGATCCAACCCTCGTTAAATAATATTGGTATATTCTATATGTGTGTTTATATGTTTCACCAGCTATAACAAATTTCGATGTATTATTTAATTTTCGGGTAAAAAGTATGGTAAGTCGTTCTAGTAAAAAATTATTGTTTTTTTAATAAAGAAAAATATTGTATTTGTTAAGTCAAAAATTTTCATATTATAAATAAAATATTTTGAGTTGACAGAAAAATTGAGGCCCATTAGACGAATAGTGGGCCTTTTGGTGAATATGGATTCAAGTGTTTTCCGGCCCATATCCAAGTTGGGCTTATGGAAACAGGCCCACGCTATAAACCAGTTTCCTGCCTCCATTCCACGCGTTTTTTTTTTTAAATAAAAATTTTTAAGAAAAGAAGAGAGAGTTGGGCCCAACCAATGTAGGATTCACCCTTCACCATTCCCCACTCGTATCGACGTAGGATCACACAATCCACCCTTGGACCCAACCAATGTAGTATCACCACAATCTATCACACTTGGGACCAGCGTCCTTGTTAAGGAGAGTTTTCCACACCCTTATAAGAAATATTTCACAATCTACCTCCTTGGTGCGAGCGTCCTCGGTAGGGAGAGGTTTACAGATCCCTATAAGAAATGTTTTATTCCTCTCTTCAATCGATGTGAGATCTCATAACCCATTTCTTCAGAATCATCGGTCCTAGCTAGAGTGAGGTTTTTACATCCTTATAAAAAATTGTTCGTTTCCTTTCCAATTCAAAAGTTAAAAACTAATATAATATCATGAAATGAAAGAATAAAAATGCTAAAAAAATATCAATTTTAAAAACTAATATAATATTATATATTCCATTTGAATTAAATCAAGATTTAATTTTTTTTTCATCCAAACAAACAGGACTTCAATTCAATCTCAAAAATAATAATAATAATAATAATAATAAGTCCCCACGTGCCGTCCCCGCAAGTTTATGAGGCACGTGAGTTCTTAAGCACGTGCTGTCACGTTACTGTATACTATATAGGGTTTTGACCTCACATGGGTGCGTTGATGCCGACTACCACCTCCTCACGTGCATAATGGACCCCACCCTAACTAAAACTAAAAATATAAAATAAATAAAATACTAAAAAAATAACTATTTTCATTAATTCATTAATAAAATCACCCTTTTTTTTAACTTTGCATCTCATTCTCAACCACCCTATGCATGATCGAGTAAACTAAATATAAAATAAAATAATTTATTTCTATAAAAAAAATTCAAAACAATAAAAATCATTTTTATTTAAAATAATCTGTAAAAAAAAAAAAAAATTATAAAATAGAAATAAAAACTATTAACACTTTATGTCCAAGATTTGAATTTCATCTTAAAATATTCATTTCATTTTTTTTTTCAATAATTTCATGATGCACCACATTAATTCCAATATCATATTAAATTAAAAATTTAAGATATGTATAAAAATAAAGAGTTATATATATAACTTAAATAATATAGTTATGGATCTTTATTATGTTTTTTCATATAGTTTAGTGTATAAATAAAATTGATACATGATATAATGTTACACCATTTCATAGACTCTGCCGGTACAGTACTATTATTTTAAAAATAAAAAGATATTTTAATTGTATGCCTTTTAAAGTAGGTATTAAAAGTAATATTGAGTTAATTTAGAATTTTTAAATGAAAAAAGAAATTAGGGAGAAGATGAAGAAGAAGAAGAAGAAGAAGAAGAAGAAGGAGTGAAAATTGGGTGTCGAGCTTTCCCCATGAAACGCAAACCAACCCATTTTCTCTCTTAGCCACTTACTCTCGCTCCCTCTCTCCCACTCCTTCTTTTCTTCTCCCACTACTTCCAATTCCCTTTCCCCCAAATCCCACGCCCCATGGAACCCCCTGAACATTTCCACCTTAAAGCCTACACCTCCACCCACTCCTCCTCCGATCACCACCACACCGCCGCCGCTGAACACGACCTCTTCTTCGTCGAGAACCTCCTCGATTTCTCCGACGACCACCACGCCGACGCCGACGCCGACGCCGGGTTATTATCCGACAATACTAATAATAATCATCATAATACTAATACTCCCAGCAGCTGCTTCCACGATAATGGGAACTCCGCCCAACTAACTTCCTTTCTGGACCACGTTAACTTACCCGACGCCCATTTCTCCGCCGAACTCGCTATTCCGGTAATCCCTCTCTCAAACGATGCGTTTTGCTCTACTTTTTTTGTTTTTTAATTAAATATATATATATATATACTTTCAATTTATTATTATTATTATTATTATTATTATTATTATGAGGATTTTAATTTTAATTTTAATTTTAATTTTGTACAGTATGATGATTTACTTGAATTGGAATGGCTTTCGAATTTCGTAGAGGAATGCGAGTACATCCAAAACTTGGAATTAATTACCGGAGTCAAAGTCAAACCCCACGAACCCACCGCCGTGCCCCCCCGAAACGCCGCCGCTATCTTCAACCCGGGTGTTGTTTCCGTTCCAGCGAAGGCACGTAGCAAACGTTCACGCGCCGTCGTATCCAATTGGAACAACTCTCTCCTTCTTCCTCTTTCTCCGACCACATCCTCGTCTGAATCCGACATTAACGCTGAACCACCGCAATTGGTCAAAAAAGCGCCGCCCAAGGCGGTGGTGACAGCGAAGAAGAAGGATAGTCCGGAGGGTGGAGTGTCTCCTGCGGGAGAGGAGCGTAGGTGCATGCATTGTGCCACCGATAAGACGCCGCAATGGCGGACTGGCCCAATGGGCCCAAAAACGCTATGTAACGCTTGTGGGGTTCGGTATAAATCCGGCCGCTTGGTGCCGGAGTACCGCCCTGCTGCTAGTCCTACCTTTGTGCTCACGAAACACTCCAATTCCCACCGGAAAGTTATGGAGCTACGGCGGCAGAAGGAGATTATTAGAGGCCAACAACAACCGCAGCCATTGGTTTTGGATCATCACCGCCAAGACCTCATATTTGATGCTTCCAGCTGTGATAATTATCTTATCCATCAACACGTAGGTCCCGATTTCCGGCAGCTCATCTGACCGCCGCCGCCGTTATCGGTAGAGCTCCGCCAATTTCATCAATTTGGTGTTTTTTACCCCTCAAACTCATGATTTTGTTAAACTTCTAACATTCAAATTTTCTTTTTCTTTTTCTTTTTTTTTTCTTCCCATAAACATTTGGTTGCCGGGATAACCACAGAGCAAATTATTGATGATTAAAAATAGCTTAAATCCATATTTTTAACTGAAAAATTAAAAAAATTATAAATTTAGTTATTATATTTTAAATAAATCTTTAAAATAATTCATTGACTTTTTTGTTTTTTTTAAAACATATTAATTGATATTTCCTCAGAATTTTACAATTTAAAAATAGTATTTAATTGTCTAAAAACTAAAATTACAATGCAAATATATGAAATAATCTTTTTTCTCTTTCTAAAATTAATGCAAGAAGCAAAATAAAATAAACTAATAATTAAAAAATATTAATTATATTTTAAAATTTATTTTACATTCGGGAGTTTTTGTTTTTTTTACCATGAAATAATTTTCTTTTATTAAAAAAAGATAAAACCATGTTACTATTTTTCATCGATTCACCTTAGTATCAACGGACAAATTTGGTCACGTCCTATTTGAATCAATTGTACCTATTGAACGTACATTTGAAAAGTCGTCTTCCATCGAAAAAAGTACAAAATAGAAATTTTATAAACATGATTATTTGTTCGAACGCGTATCCACCGTTGGATCATGTTGTTCTATATCTATAGGCTAGATCATACCTATACACGAAAAAATACACCCACTTAATCTAAAATAATATTTAACTAAAATTAACCATAAAATTTAAACAATAAATGAGATAAAATTAAAGATATAATTTCTAAAATAATATTTAATTAAAAATTTACTTATTTGAATAAATTAAAAACAAAATTTAGATTGGAAGGAGATATATATTGACGTGAAATTCAGTGAATTAATATTTATTTATTTTTACAGAGAATGTTTGATAAGCACATGCACAGTAACAGAGTTTCCTAACGGTTATTTATTTATTAATTAATTTTCTTGAATGCATTAATAACAATATTTAAAAATTATTATTTGTTCATGTTTTTTTTTTTCTTTTTTGAATGTTAACGAAATTAAAATAAAGAAAAAAAGTTAGAAAATAATTATTAATGAAACCCATTATAAAGTTAATAAAAAAAATTAAGTATTAGAAATTAGATCAATTCATACAATAAAATAAAATAAAAATAAAAATATTACAAAAATATATTCTGACACTAAAAATAAATAAATAAATAAATAAATAAATAAATAAATAAATAAGCAAAATTTGCGGTGAGATCACATGCCCCTATTTACAACTTTTCTTATAAATAATTTTCTCATTACTGACACTGACACATTAACTCTTCATTATTTTCTTAATTAGTAAATATTTAATTAAAGAAAAATTAAATAAATATTTGGGGTATTTTTATTTTATACAAAGTGTAGGGAAAATAATAATAATAATATACTTTCTTTTTATCTAAATTTGATCTATATATTTTGTCTTTACTGAAAGGTGTTATTTTTAATTTATAAGATGGGATCGAGTTTATTAATCAAATTGAAAAAAATATATCATAAAATCATCCAATTTAATAAAAAAATTACTGAATCAGATCCACTTTATATTAAATTAATTTAAAATGCACAAGGCAAGAAAATGGGAATTTCACATCTAAAAAATTATGTGATTCTATTTAATTTGTTTGAATTTTTATTTTTAAAATCTACAAATTAAATCTATATTTTTGGTTCGATAATAAGTTCGAGTTGATGATTGATTTTTTTTTTTTTTTTTTATATTGATTCGCGTAGAAATTGACGAGAATAATTTATTGATAATCAGATTTGAATAATAATAAAAATAAAAAAATAAAATAAAATGAAAGATTCTCTTATTTGTAGGCTTGGTTTTTTTACTTTAAAGAAAGCCCATTGGAGGTGATGGGCCTGGTGTCCTTGAAATTGCCCATGGGAGGTTATGGGCCGGATGATGGGCCGGAGCGCTGGTCTGCTTGGGCCAGCCGAGTTCACAATTCGGTTGTTATTGGGTTATTAATTTTTTTAATTATTTAAAAAACCATATTAAAATTTTATAAAATTAAAATATCAAACATTTAATGTGACAACGCATCATTCAAATTAGTTATAAACCTTAAATATTTTAATATTTTTAGAAGTAGGGTAAAATTGTTTTAATCTTATTTTCAGATTGGTTGGATCAACCCAAATCGTAAATTCAAGATGTTTTTATATAATAAGCTTAATCTTAAATGATTTAAGAGGGCAAAAGAGCATGTTTAAAACATTGTAGAGTGAAAAAGGATTTATTTTTGTCCACAAAATCTTCAAAAATGATTTAAATATCTAGGGGTATAAATAATACCAACCAATAATTATTTTTTATACATAAAAATAAATTCCAAGCTCGTAGCACGTGCGATTATAAAAAGGATTTTAGATTAGTTTAATTTAATTTAATTTAATTGCCACAAGATGATGCACATCACGTCTTACGATATAAATTAATTTAAATCAAAATTATGATAATAATAGTACCAGCTGTTAATACTGTAATTTAAATAATTACTTAAACTTTAATTACGAGAATTGATATAATTTTGCTCATTATTAATTTAAATAATGATTAGTAGTAATCAGAATCACTAATTAAATATTATATTGATTTGACTATAATTTTTTTTTAATGTAATTTCAAATTTAAACTTAACCGTTATTTAGAATTTACAGTAGAGAAAAAAAAAATGAAAATTTTAAAAAATAAAAAATAAAATTGAGAATTTGTAGAAGATTGGGGAGAGTTTGGTAATATACAGCTTATTTAATAATTAAATAAAGAAGGCAAATGCTAATTAATTAATAATAAAATATTAAATACGCGGCCACACGCAAAGTTGTGTTCCCGTCAATGCCATAGGGGAGAAGGGGAGAGGTTTCAACGTTGTTGGTGGGTGGGTATTATTGTCTTTATGATTAATTTTGGGGGGCAAAATGGACCAATGTGAGTTGAAAGTTATAGGACGATTGGTCAAACTTTGTGAAAGTCAAATGCGAGACAAAATTCAAAAGCAATGGAAAAACCTCTCAATAAATACGTGAATTGAAGTCCCATATGCAAGGATGACGTCACCTTCAACTTTCGTATCCATACATTTATCTATTCGAGTGTTATTGAGACATAAACTCTCCCGTGTCTATGTTGAGTTATTTTTGCTTACTATTTTGCAGAAAGCCTCATATATCAACCTCAAACTCAAGGAATATGGGAAGGACACTCGTGTCATTTGATATTATCCTCGAAAACCCATTTCTAAGGGAAAACACCCAAAACACTCATCTTGCAACGCTCACCCATACTATAGGACACGATAAATTGTATTTATTTGAATAGGTATATTCCAATCCTTCTAAAATTTATAAGAATTAAAATTACATGCATGCCCTTCCCCTTTGAATGTCAAAGATACGAATATTTAGTACAATGTGGATTTCCAAATTAAAATTTAAAATTGAGTAAGCTATTAATTTATAACTAAAATAAGGACCTTTTTTATTTTTATTTTTTAAAAATAAAATTGCATCGATTTTTTAAAATTATTTTTGAGTTGGAAATAAATTTAATTGCATGTATATTAATAATTAATCTAAAGTAGGTAAATAATAAACTAATAATTTTGTTCACATCTAATTCAACATATATTATTAATAAGTTTGAATTATAAATTAATCGTTAATTAGGCAATATTAATATACATGGGAGAAAAAGGTTGAAATCAAATTAATATTAAAGAATAATATAATTGATTTAAAAATATTTTGATTTAAGTAATTAAAGTGAAAAGGTAAATATTAGGTATGTAATATTTTAAGAAATGAAGGATTGAAATGAAAAGATAGTGAAAAGAGAGGGCCAAAAGAGTAATTTTATATTGTGAAGAGGGGGGGCGTGGGAAACATGACGTGGCAATCATATTGCTTGTTGCTTAATGCGAAGCGACGGGCAACGGGCGTGAGCGGTAGGTAGCGCCAAAGATGGCGGGGGCTACCTCCACCGGCTACCCGTTTCTGTTGCATTTAATAATTTTGTACCTTATTTAAGAGAATTCATTAACAAGCTTTATCACTTTAATTACCCACCATTTCTTGAGTTCAAAACCGAATGGTATTTCATATTTTTTTTCAATTATTTTAATTAATTTTTTTTTTTTATGAAATTAAGTAAAATTGTTATATTTTATATTTTATTATAAATACAATGAATCAAATAATTAGTTTGTCCTATCTGACAAATACATGCACTTAACGATTATGCTTAATGTCGTATTTAAACAACTTAGGTCAATGTCGGTTGAGTTAACTTAAATTATATGTCTAATTATTTGAATTATATTTAAGTTGATTAGTAATATCAAAATAATAGGTCGCATGTAATTATTGTTTGTGCTAATAAGTTAAAATGTACATATAATCCAACTTTTTTTTTTTTTAAATTTAATGGTTTGAATTTTTGTGTAATTTAACAAATTTACTTATAAAAAAAAGTTAAATTATTTAAAATATCTTTTGATTTCAGTTTCATTAGCTATTGTCCATTGCTAATAGTATTTTTTAATAAAAAAACTAATTTATTAGAAATTAATATCATAAACTTCTTAAAAAATTTAAAAAAGTACCCTTAAAACCTTTTAAAATTTTCAAATAGAACCCAACGAAACCTTAATAATGTAAAAACATAATTTTTTAAAATGAGGTTACAATAATATTTTTGAACTTTGAATTTTTTTTAAAAGATATTAATAAAAAATTTAAACATTTAAAAGTATTTTTAAAAATAAAATATTAAGAATTCCATTTAAAACTATACCTAATTTTTTTATTTAAAAAAGTTTAGTATTATTTCCAACTTTGGTAATTTTGAGTTAAAAGTGCAAAAATCATAAATATATATATATATATATATATATACTTTTTTTTGGTGGTTGTTGGGTTCTTGAATCAATTAGTCCACGTGGGTTGTTTATGCTCTTCACATTATGGCCATAATTGGTTGACAAAATCGGGAATAAGCAAAAAGAAATATGCACTTTTTCGTTTTTCATTCACTATAAAGCCTGAATCTTACTCCTTCCGTTTCCACCAAATTCTCTGTGTGCTGCCTGCCTGCCCTTTTCCTTGTAGCACAGAGCCCATTGGCGTGCGGGAGAAGCAGATTTCAGAGCAGATTCATGGAGGGTGCCATGAGGAAGACGATGAGCAGTGGTAGTGTTCATATGGAGATGGAAGACATTGACAACAAGTTTCAGGAAGCGTATGGGGAACATAACGCCACAGAAGACCAGCTCATTACCCCCTGGACTGTCTCTGTTGCTAGGTAACATTCAAGAAACATAAACACATCTTCTTTTATGGGATTGTCTTTCATTCTCTTCTTACTTTCCCTTTCTTCTTGTTGTTATTTCAGTGGCTACTCGTTGCTGCGTGATCCCATCTACAACAAGGGCCTTTCCTTTACTGAGAAAGAGAGAGATGCTCATTACTTGCGTGGCTTGTTGCCGCCTGCACTTTTTGATCAGGAGCTTCAGGTGAGTTTGGATCTCTCTTGTTCTTTGCTTCTTTCTGGGCTTGGTTTGGATTCAATGTTTTGATGGTTTCTTGGCTAGCAGGAAAGGAGGATGATGCACAATCTTCGCAACTATGATGTTCCTTTGCACAGATATATTGCCTTGATGGATCTTCAGGTTTGGCTTAAAGCTTTGAAGGTTTTTAATGAGTAGATGTAGGGGTAAAAGCTGAGGAGTTGCTGGGTTCTTGTTCTTTAGTTCTATCATTAAACTCCCCAGGAACAACCTTACAAATCTTAGAACAAATCTTAGAATCCATGAGATGTATGATGTTAAATTTGATCAAAACCGGCAGACAATCAGTAAAAAGCCTAACCCCAAGACAAATATTGTTTTCTTTGGGTTTTTCCTTTTGAGCTTCCTCTCAAAGTTTTAAAATGCGATTATTAGAAGAGGTTTGGCACACCTTTGCAAAAAATGTTTCGTTCACCTCTCTAACTGATGTGGGATCTCACAATTCACCCCCTTCGGGACCCATCATCCTCGCTGACACTTGTTCCCCTCTCTAATCGATATGTGATCTCACAATCCACCTCTCTTCAGGGCTCAGCGTCCTTGCTGACACACCGCCCGACGTCTGGCTCTAATACCAACTGTAATAGCCAAAACCCACCGCTAGCTGATATTGTCCTCTTTGAGCTTTTCCTTTGGGGATTTCTCTCAAGGTTTTAAAATTCGTTTCCCTCTCCAACCGATGTGTGATCTCACAATTCACTCCTTCGGGGCTCAGCGTCCTTGCTGGCACAACGCCCTATGTCTGGCTCTGATACCAACTATTACAACCCAAGCCCACTGCTAGTAGATATTGTCTTCTTTGGACTTTTTCTTCTGAGCTTCCCCTCAAGGTTTTAAAACGTGTCTGTTAGAGAGAAGTTTTCAAACCCTTATAAAAAATGCTCTATTTCCCTCTCCAACTAATGTGGAATCTCACACAACAACCTATAGAGGGTTCTTTGCTTCCTTATCCCAATTGATGTTTGTACTTGTAGCTTCGTTCTACTCAGGCCATACCAAAAATTTTCCTTCATGTCTACTATGATTTGATCTTGCAGGAGAGAAATGAAAGGCTGTTCTACAAGCTTCTCATCGATAATGTTGAAGAACTGCTTCCAGTTGTGTACACTCCAACTGTTGGCGAAGCTTGCCAGAAGTATGGGAAAATTTACAGGCGACCTCAGGGCCTTTTCATCAGTTTGAAAGAGAAGTATGCCACTAAACAAGCATTTTTGATCTATGATTGGTTTCATTAGTTCAGAACTGATAATCAACCGTTTCCCTTTCCAGGGGAAAGATTCTTGAAGTTTTGAAGAACTGGCCTGAAAGGAACATTCAAGTTATTGTTGTGACTGATGGAGAGCGGATTCTAGGCCTTGGGGACTTAGGATGCCAGGTTATAAAACTTACTTCTTTCATTCTGCTGATGAACCTTTATTTACTTGCATCCTGTTGCTTACTGTTTCCATATTCTTTCAGGGCATGGGGATCCCTGTCGGAAAGCTTTCTTTGTATACAGCACTTGGAGGAATTCGACCCTCAGCTGTAAACAATGCTTTTAGCTTATATACTTATGTTCTAATCTGAATTTAGCTGAGTGTTGATACCTGGATAAGTCAAGTACTACCAAGCAAGGACTTAAGTTTGTAGTTCTGTGTACAGTGCTTGCCAATCACGATAGACGTCGGTACGAACAACGAGCAGCTTCTGAACGATGAGTTTTACATTGGCCTTAGACATAAACGAGCCAGAGGACAGGTAAAGCAATATATTGCTCCCTTTTTACCTTCCAATTCCATGATTTCAATCCATTCATGCAGTGCTTTCCTTCATTCAGGAATACATGGAACTTTTAGATGAGTTCATGTATGCAGTAAAGAAGAACTATGGAGAGAAAGTCCTTGTACAGGTACTTGATAATTTCAACTTACAGTTAGGATTGGACTTTGATTCAGTGGCTCACTATGCATTTCTCAACAGTTTGAAGATTTTGCAAACCACAATGCATTCGAGTTGCTTGCGAGATATAGCTTGTCACACCTCGTGTTCAACGACGACATTCAGGTAAAAAACATATGCATCACTTTCAGTTCACTGTTAACTTTATATGTTTTGGGATTAGCTCTCTATCAAGCTTTTTCTCGTTCGACATTTAGGGTACGGCATCTGTCGTTGTAGCAGGACTACTTGCAGCTCTTAAACTTGTTGGAGGGACATTAGCTGAGCATACTTTCTTGTTCCTTGGAGCTGGAGAGGTGAGTTAAATTTTGTTCATTTACTTTGGCACATATTTCGTTGATTGATCATCTGCTTATCTTTCCTGTCTTGTCTGCAAAACTTTCATTCACATGTCTATATCCGTTCTAAGAGATCAAATAGCGCCATGCTTTTGTTCTCAATGGTATGCTGTTTCTTATTTCTGTCATTTGACTGTTGCAGGCTGGGACTGGTATAGCTGAGCTTATTGCTTTGGAGATTTCAAAACAGGTATGAGCCTACTTCTACTTCTACTGCTCTTCTCCTGTTGATTCTGAATCATTCAAATGCATTTATGGCTTATGATTTTGCTTGTTTTTGGCAGACTGGAGCTCCAGTTGAAGAGACTCGCAAGAATATTTGGCTTGTGGACTCAAAGGTTGTTTGGACTGGCTCACTTCAAGATTGTGCCTTTACACCCAAATGTTATTTCCTGTTCTAAAAGAATTATAACCATTGTCACAGGGGCTGATCGTTCGATCCCGCTTCGAATCCCTTCAACATTTTAAGAAGCCTTGGGCTCATGACCATGAATCTATCAAGGATCTTCACGACGCCGTCCAGGTTTGTAATTGACATCTATTCCTTCATTATTTACTCGTTCTTCTATGAGATCTTTGTAAACTCAATCTTAAAACTTCAAATTATATAGGCAATCAGGCCAACTGTGTTGATAGGAACATCTGGTGTTGGGAAGACATTTACAAAGGAAGTTGTGGAGGCCATGGCATCCTTCAATGAGGTTCTTCCTTGTTCCCTCTAACTTCTCCATTCCTCAATTCTTAGACAAGAAGTTATTAAAGATTAACTCGATTTTCGATTACTATGCAGAAACCGCTGATCCTTGCTCTCTCAAATCCTACATCACAATCGGAGTGTACAGCTGAAGAAGCTTATACATGGAGCCAGGTACAGTCCAAGTCCTGCAAAACAGCTAGCATCATTTATGTTTGCAGATCATATCATAACAAGAAATCACTATGTTCTTAAAACTTATCCTTTTAAACCTGCAGGGCCGGGCGATCTTTGCTAGTGGAAGTCCATTTGATCCTGTTGAATATGATGGGAAAGTTTTTGTGCCTGGCCAGGTACCTTTCATACTTACAAAAACCGATCTTTCTAATAACAATTCAATTTCAACTTGGTTTTATCTTATGAGCTTGCATTCTCTTCCTAATGTCATTCAGGCCAACAATGCTTACATATTCCCTGGATTTGGCTTGGGTCTGATCATGTCAGGCACGATTCGTGTGCACAATGACATGCTCTTGGCAGCCTGTAAGTAAAATTTTGGTTAATTGAGTCAACAAATGATGCTTGTTTCCTGCCAATCTTTATCAAGTATATGCTCCAATATCTATAGCTTTTATCTTACCCCCGTCCAACGCATGTCGAGTATTAGTTTTGCCGGGTCGGAGCTCGATTTAACAGGTTTTTTTCCTCTTTCCAGCTGCGGCTCTGGCTGCCCAAGTGAGTCAGGAAAACTATGATAAGGGATTGATTTACCCTCCTTTTACCAACATCAGAAAGATATCTGCTAACATTGCTGCTAAAGTTGCTGCTAAGGCTTATGAACTTGGTTAGCGACTCCCATTTTCTTCACAATGTGATTAAATCATTCATAGATAAACCAATGACAGACAAGTAAACTTACAGTTGCATCATATAACATTTACAGGTCTGGCTTCTCGTCTTCCTCGACCGAAGGATCTCGTAAAATTTGCAGAGAGCTGCATGTACAGCCCCCGCTACCGTAGCTACCTTTAAGCGAGTATTGTAGGTTCAGTCTTTAAAAAGTTTCCACATATTTGCTTTCTAGTCCTGGAATTAGCATAGGACATGCCTTCAAGAGGCTGTTGCTTCTGTCTCCTAATGTCCTGTTTCTGAAGTTGTCTGTCTCTTGTATAACATTCATTTGATATTCAGACTGAAGAAGAATGTATTAGGCATTTCCAATACATTGCCTCAACTCACTCTTATCTTACAAACTACGTTACCATTGCATATTATATACAAAACATATAATTGGATCAACTGAAATTAGTTGATTTGAACTATTCACCATAAAGTTCTAATTGCACAGCTCAAAAAGAAAAAAAGAAAACATACATACACATACCACAGCTACCAAAGAAGAAAAAAGAAAACCTAAACTTTGCTATTTATTTTAAAAATATCCATGGATATTTTTTCAAAAGTACTATTGTAGAAATCCATTAGAATATTGGACAAGAAATGAAACTTAATAAATATGTCGATGACATGAAACAAAAATTGGGACACAAACTCCGTTACACTCAAACAAGTCATCACCACACCCATTCCAAGTCCCAATTTCCATCTAAAATTCAGAAGCTCTTTCTTATATCAGGGATAGATTACATAAAACAATACAGAAATTTTCTGAATATTTGCATTGGTTTTTAATTCTCAACTACATTTATGGATTTCCACAAGAAACGTTGTCTTGATCCCACGTTTAGATCTCTAATATCATGCTCAATCTGCCTATTCATAATTATCTAGCAATAACCTATTTGAGGTCAAAGGTTCCAGCTCCCAAACGACTTCTAAGGTCCAAGTCCAATTCTTGTCCTCCGGAGGAAAATTCAAGTGGGAACTAATCCTCGAGTGAACTTCATGCCCAAGTTTAATGTAGTGTTAGAAACAAAATCAACACAATACAATAACCTTTTGTAGATTTTTTTCTTTTTAAATATTTAATTTTCTTTACATAAGATTCTAGTTTATTTTATTCTTTCATTTATTAGTTAATATTCTTTGCTTAATATAGCTAGTTTCCTTTTATGTATTTTTCTGTATATTATATCTTCACGAGTTTTAATGCATACATTGAATTTTTCTCCCGAAAACTCCACTTTTTTTGTAACCAAACCATGAACAACTTCTATTTAAGAAAGAGAGAAAAAGGACACTCATACGCTCAATGAAAAAGAAAAGCCAGATCAATCTCATACCCAGGGAACCAACTGTATTCTGTCTCAGCTCGTCCTCTAAGTGCTAAGCCATTTGCTCTGTAAAGAGTCATTATTTCATGCACATAACCATGAGGGTTCACATAAGCACCGAGAGGACTGTCACTAGACATCACCAACATATCGCTGCGCTGGGCTATAACCGTCTGCATAAGAGGAAATTACATATAAAAACAATGGCCAGCTAAGTACTAAGAAGGTCTAACACAGTACAAAACGGAGGCATAAGATGAGGGCAGATGCAAAAAGTTCAACGGACGAGTACAACCATACATACTCAGAAACTATTGACTACCTTGCAGTTTTTACATTGGATGATATCAATAGACTTCAGTAACTCAATTTCCCTACGCAATCTATATGAAATGCCATCAATCTCCAAGAGCTCCTGTCTAGTACATTCAGAAACAGGAATCTTACTAGCAATATAGAATGCTAAAGTGTCTGGATTCTTCACAAAGCCATCCATGTTTGGCACCCCCACTATCTGCTTCCACATAGCTGGAAATAGTGATGATAAAGAAAGGAATCAAAAAACAGAACCAACCATTCTTGATATATTGCAGAAAAAGAATACTGTCCTGAGATATAGAAAACACCAAGAAAAAGAAAAGACAAAAAGGCCAAGAGTTTTTTTTTTTTTTTTTTTTTGGGGGGGGGGTTGGT